TGGGAAGACGGTATCTTAACACATTCAATTTGCCCTACAACTTTTTGAGTATATGAGGTGTCTACCATATTCTCGGGAGTCCCCAGCTTGTCCGTCAGGTGCAATAAAAATGATTGATCGCTTCAAAAGTCATTTTGCAACCACAGAGCTGATTTGCCGAGCAGTCTGGCAAGGGCTGTAGGAGTACAAGAGATGGTCAGAGGAGCTTGCTGGATACAATGAAGTTTAGAAGGCACAGCTCTTACGATCTCCTTCCTGACTTCGAGAAGGTTATCACTTGAGTTGGAAAAGCCATAAGAAACCACTGAGGGTAGAATTTTAACAACTGCTGAATAACATAGTATGAAATGAAAGAGGCCTAAGATTTATAGAAAGAAGGGCTCTCAGCACCATTAATTTCTCACAGGATATCAGACCACTATTTCGTGTTGGGTTATTAATTGCTTCCTAGTCTTCCTTCTCTGTAGAATACCATTAAGTTCCATAAGGACTGGGAATACGGCCTACTCATTTTTGCCTCCCTCTCAGCATTCTGTACATTATACATAAACTGCATAAAGATTTGTTAAATAGATGAATCACTCAACGTCTTCCTCTTTGGCAATGTGATCCTGGCTGATTTTTTTTACAGATTAAATTTGGGCGGAGGGGGAGGGGCGGATTTTCTTAGTTAAAACATGAGAGGATGTTCAGGGTCAGGATGTTTCTTGTTCTGGTCTTTATTGCGTGTATTGGGAGCCACAGAATCGCTCTTCAGCTCCCCGTGGGAGGAAAAGAGTAAAGCTGTCCCTGATCACACCACAGTAATCTGAGTCAAGGATATGAAACAAGCCCTTCAGGAAGTGAGCCGATTAAATGTTATTTCCTCAGATATGAGGTTAATAAACAAAATTTAGTTAAAGAATCAAACCACTTTAGATTCTTATGTTCCCTAAAGGGGTAGAAACAACTGAAGTCATGTGATAAAAATAAAGAGAGGACCACGGCAAATTTTTCTCCTTTTCCCCATCCCGCGGTCTTATCCTTCATGCTTTATGCACAATGTGACGTTAAAACCAGAAAACTTTTTTCTTTCCCCTTTTGTCGGGGGGTAAATACCAGCTGGAGCTTTGTGAGCAGTGAGTAATATACCTGGCACAGGACCAAGGTAACTGCCACCTGAAAACTTTCCACTCTATTATTCTCCAGCTCAGGAGTCTTAGGGTCCAAATGGATGAATGAAGGAAGCTGACTTTGTGGGCTCTCACACACAGGACATTTCCTACAGCATGGGCTGCCTGGTTATATCAACTCTCACTTTCTCCCCTGTGCCTAGCCCATGCCCAAATGTTTGATCTCAGCATGATTTCTTCTTGTTTCTCAGCACACATTTGGGTTCTCTCCCCTCTGGCCACAGCTTGGCACATCCTCGGAGATGGAAACCACCTTTAATAATCATAACAAGAAAAATATATTTGGGACTGTCAATGTAGCAGAGGCCACACTGACAGGTTTCTGCACATAACCCTCAGGCTTTATTTGTAGGCTTCCAATTGTCAGGACCTTCCTCTTTGTCCCCAAGGCCATTTCCTTAAGCCCGGGAGGCTGCTCTACCTGGCACAAAGCAGGCCTCAAGTTCAGGAGAAGCCCACGACCAATAGCAGCCGGTGATTGATACCCCAGCTTCCTGGTCCCTCAGTCGAGATAGTTCTGAAGTGTATGCTTTATGTTTCACAGTGGGGATGAGCTCCTTACATACCTTTGATTAACTGCATTCACCATCCCTACATCATACCCCCGTTACCATACTATCATTTCCTGACACTCCCAAATAAACTAGTCCTTGAGTCTTTGTCTTGGGTCAGCTGCCAGGGACACCCAAACCAAGATGGTCCACAGGTGTCTCCCAAAATTCTTATAATGGATTCCAAAGCCAAATATCCATAATTTTCAAATCAACCATGGGATGGTGAAAACTTGAAAATTCGTAAGTAAGCCAAGACTGAAATTGGCTAAACTTAAGTTCCTTCACTCACAGCATCAATATTCCTCAAACTTGCTTCTTCATGCTCTAAAAGTGTTCTTCTGAATGAATGACCTCTGTTGGTAAGTAGTTTAACAGAATGCATTTGCGATCAGTTTAATATGCTTTGAAGGTTATGGTACAAGCCTCTGAATTATGATTCACAGGTGTTTGCTGGAACTATTTCTGATGTACCAAGTGACCTTAGCCATTTTAATCCCTATATTCAACTAGAATGTGCTGTGTTGTGAAATCTAGTCCGTACCTGGTGCAACAGACATTTTAGTTTTTAGACTTATTTAATTATTTTCCACAATTCTTTATTTTCCCTTTTCCCCAAATACTGATTTATTATTTTTCTTCTCTTCCCTTTTTACTCACATCTTTCCCTCCTGTCATTGTTCTTTTTAGGACAAAATGATGCAATTGCAGATGATATGCGTAATACAGTGGATGCTACGTGCCCAACAGATCCCTCTTGGATCAAGGGACTCACTCCTCTGGCTGAGGGATATTGGTTGCTAATGGCTCACAACTCAGTTCCTCTTCAGGAATTGTCCTGAGCTGAAGGTTATACTCTTTCTTCCCTGGGGACAACCAGCATCCAAAAATACTCAGACCGTCTGTCTCAGTGTGGAACAATTCTGAAGAATCAATCCAGCTCCAAAGCTCTGTGTAGGACAACTGAGGCCTCTTTGCAGTTACACTGTGGTTCACCTTCTCCTTTTGCTTTTCCTTCTGCTTTTCTTACTCTTTGCAAGTGCTGTTCTCCAGAGTACCCCGTAATGAAACTTCCGTCCAAAAATGTAAGAATCACAAGAGTCTGTTTCCCAGGAACCTGGCCTCTGACACTTCCAAACAAAATTAGAAGATCAAGAGGGGTTAAAATGTGTTCATTTTAGTTTACTATCATTTGTGTACTCTGCCTAGTATATATATAGGATGGTGTCACAAAAACTTACAAGGTGCAGTATATATTTGTATATACTACTACTTGAAATGTATAGGAAAATAAAATGCGTGGATTTGGCTGAACCATAGAAAACAAATGTAACAGCACCTGACATATGAAAGGAGCTCAACAAATATTTCCTGAATCTTTGACTCAGCTCTTAGAACAAAATGATTTACACTTGTCTCATAATTCAGTGCTTCAAAGATTGTATTTTTAATTGTAAATAATTGTGTTTTTAATAAAAATGTCCACATTCTTGGGGTGCCTGGCTGGTTCTGCCGGTAAAGCATCAACTTTTTTTCTTTAAGATTTTATTTATTTATTTGTCAGAGAGAGAGAGAGAGCACAAGCAGGGGGAGCGGCAGACAGAAGGGGAGCAGGCTTCCCACTGAACAGGGAGTCTGATGCGGGACTTGATCCCAGGACCCTGGGATCATGACCTGAGCCAAAGGCAGATGCTTACTGACTGAGCCACCCAGGTGCCCCACGCATGTGACTCTTGATCTTGGAGTTGTGAGTTCGAGCCCCATGTTGAAAGTAGAGATTACTTTTTAAAAAATTGAAATGTTTTAAATGTTCATATTTTATTCATTTATTTTTTAAAATTTTTTATTTAAATTAAATTTAGTTAACATATAGTGTATTATTAATTTCAGGGGTATAATTTAGTGATTCATCAGTTGCATGTAACACCCAGTGCTCATTATATCACGTGCCTTCCTCAATGTCCATCACCCAGTTACCTCATTCACCCACCCACCACCCCTCCAGCAACCCTCAGTTTGTTTCCTATAGTTAAGAATCTCATATGGTTTGCCTCCCTGTCTGTTTTTATCTTATTTTATTTTTCCTTCCCTTCCTCTTTGTTCATCTGTTGTTTCTTCAATTCCACATATGAGATCATATGATACTTGTCTTTCTCTGACTGACTTATTTCACTTAGCATAATATCCTTTAGTTCTATCTATGTCATTACAAATGGGAAGATTTCATTCTTTGTGATGGCTGAGTAATATTCCATTGTATATATATACACACCACATCTTCTTTATCCATTCATCTGTTGATGGACATTTGGGCTTTTCTCATAGTTTGGCTATTGTGGACATTGCTGCTATAAACATTGGGGTGCAGGTACCCCTTCGAATCACTATAAAATATTCACATTTTAATCTGTATACAGGTAAATAAAACAATTTAAATTATTTCTTGGGGCACCTGGCTGGCTCAGTCAGTAAAGCATATGACTCTTGATCTTGGGGTTATAAGTTTGAGCCCCATGTTGGGTGCAGAAATGACTTAAAAATGAAATCAAATAAATAAATAAATAAATAAAATTATTTCTTTAACTGCAGAATACGGTGGCTCATGCTACCTGGCTGGCTGTTCATACTATACCTACATCTACTTTATCACAACTGAAAAGGTAGATGGAATGTAAACAATGTTCATTTTGTTGAATAAGAACTTCAAAACTTAACATACCTAAAAATAACCCATCATTGTCCCTAATGGGCAGTCTTCTCATCATCCTCGTAATGAAAATAATTCAGATATCCAAATGCTCCATAGGCTCTCCTCCATTAATCACGACACAGCGTCTTCTCCTCACCCAGCTCCCATATCACCCCCATTCTCATTCTTGGAGGATTTATGAAAAGTCTTTCCTGGTAACTTTTTCCAAGCTCAGTCATATTTGGGGGTGGGGGTAGTGAGGGACAAGGTTTAAAGAGGAGATTTTGGGGGCGCCTGGGTGGCTCAGTCAGTTAAACGGCTGCCTTCGGCTCAGGTCATGATCTCAAGGTCCTGGGATGGAGCCCCGCATCAGGCTCCCTGCTCAGCGGGGAGCTTGCTTCTCCTTCTCCCTCTGCTGCTCCCCCACTTGTGCTCTCTCTCTGTCAAATAAATAAATAAAAATCTTTAAAAAAAAATAAAAATAAAGAGGAGATTTTGCTACCGATAAATTAATTAATTACAACAACAACAAAAAAACAGGGAAGTAAGCCAATGACAAACTAAAAATGAGAAACAGAAGGAAGAAAAGGTAAAAGGGTTACGTTTCTGAAATGGTATTTCCTGGGCATTTGTTGAAGGCATTTGTTGGTGTTGCTTCCTTTAATTGCAGTCCTGCAATTGCTAGCCACTCAAATCCCTGGTTAGTGAGGGTCATGCTAGCAGCTATAATAAATAGACCTCAAAATATATAATCCTCAAGCCTCATAAAAGCTTATTTCTTGCTCACCTAAACTGTTTCTGGGTGGTGGGTGGCTCTTGGACATGCTCAGGCCCCTTTGTATTGCGTTCTGTTTTACTAGGTAGCTTCCCCCTCCCCCAAGGCCTCACCTTCATCAGCATCCAATCAATAAAGGAAGAAACAAAATAAGGAGGAGACATCTGTGTTTCCTAAAAGGCTTGGCTCAGCCATGGCATAAACGATTTCCTGCACACATTCTGTTGGTTAGAATTCACGACCACAACAAACTACGAAGCAGCCTGGGAAATATGGTCCAACTATATGCTCAGGAGCAGGGGGCAGTGTATTTTTGCCGAACAGCTAACATACCCAGACACAGAGCCTTTGTGCAGCTTCAGGAAGATAAGCAAATACCAAGCTTCTCAAACCGTGCTGGGGGGGATCTTAAAGGTGCCACCTGGCTGACTGCTAGAGCCAGACAATGGAAATCCACCTTCTTCAGCTTTCCTTGGAGCCCCTAATACTTAATATCTCATCGTAATTCTAATTTTTCTAATAGTTGTACCGATATACCAAAGTAGGCCCCACAGTAAAGCACTCTGTCTCTCCAAGACAGGTTAGATGGCCTCTTAGGAATTGACTGAAGAATTCTGTCTGTTTCCTCCCTCCCCCTTCCCCTTCTAATGAAGTGGTCACATTGTTTGGGAAGGTTTCTGAGATCATTATCTGGATGCCTCATCATTCTGACACCACTACTCTGGGCACTAGAATTTCAATCACCAAGTCCTGTGAAACTTAACCAGTTCATTTTCTTAACGTTTTGTCAACAAACGGAATCAAGTTTTCTCATAAAATGACAGTTACAAAATCATGTCTCTTGACCCACGACAGGAGAAAACAGTGAATCTTCCGTTTCAACATTCAAGCCAGAGATCAGAATTTTATTTGAAGAAGATGACAACTTTGTGGCTAATGGTATTCTTTTTGTACTTACTCACTCTTCCAGATGAACGACAGAGAATAATCGGTCATTCTGAAGATGGCTTCACAAGAGAAGAGCTTACAACCGATATTGTATTTTTTTAGTTCAGAAAGGACATTCCTGAGGGAAAACGTGATCAGGTTTATATGAGTCAAATGAAACTATCTGTGTAGGAGGCTTATGCTTTGTAGCGTAAATGGTTAACTCAGGCGTGTCTACACATACAAGAGCCAAATTATAATTAAGAACCTTCAGTGAACACCACCACACTAGATGTTATCAGTGTTTACCAGTAGTGTCTGCTCATATTTACAAATCACTTTTTAATGTTCACGAAAGTATCTTACCTCAATTATTTATAACTACTCATACAGCATGGGTGGGTAACCTTTTTTTTTAATTACCAGTTATATCCCCTAAAGCAAAATCAACCTTGTAATTAATTTAGAGTTAGTTTTCCTTAAGGAAATATTAAGCATCAAAATCACTTTCTTTTCAGCTAAGCAAAGAGAGCAAAAAAGTACATAATTCTGACAAAAATACTTTGGGGCACCTGGGTGGCTCAGTCGGTTAAGCATCCCATTCTTGATTTCAGCTCAGGTCATGACCTCAGGATTGTGAGATCAAGCCCCACTTCCAGCTCTGCGTTGACCATGGAGACTGCTTAAGATTCTCTCTCTCTCTCTCTCTCTGAAAGAAAGAAAGAAAGAAAGAAAGAAAGAAAGAAAGAAAGAAAGAAAGAAAGAAAGAAAACTTTAAAGTATATACTGTAGCCAGGTAAGAGGAAAGGGAACAAGGAAGAGGAGAAGAAAGAGGTGGAAGCAAGGGGTGAGAGACAGAGACAGAGAGACAGAGAGGTGAGCAGGCAAAAAAAGAAAGGAAAATTTGAATGATCATGGAGGGAAATGAGGGGGAAAAGGCAGAGGAGAGAATGAGAAAGAAAAACAGAAAAAAAGGAGTAGCAGAATGTCTTCTTGAGAGGGAAGGGGGACATTTGGACAAAGTAAAGAACAGAACCTACCTATGAGGGAAGAGAATTGGGGAAGTTCTCTCCCATGTTGTAGCCATTATGATCAGAGCAACTCAAGGTTGAATGAAATCAAGTCCAAGGTAGGTCTGGCTGTGGGTGTTGGTTTCTTACTGTAGACTTTGTGAAGAGCCACATCTCGCCAATCAGAAAGATATTCTTACTTAAGTGATTTTTCATAATTCACTTTCTTCATGGATTTCAGATTCTTTAAAACATTTTTTAATATTTTTAAATTTATTTTTAAAGTGAGATCTATACCCAACATGGGGCTTGAACTCATGACCCCAAGATCAAAAGTCACATGCTCTACTGACTGAGGCAGCCAGGCACCTCTTAGATTCTTTTTTTTTATTGACATATAATTTATATACCATCAAATTACCTTTTTTAAAGTATACAGTTCAAGGCTTTTGATAAATTTACAAGTTTATACAATCATCACCACTACTTAATTCAAGAATTTTTCATCACCCCTAAAAGAAACCTCATACACATTAGAACTAATTCCCCACACCCTCCCTCTGCCAGCCTCCGGAAACTAAAAATCTCCTTTGCCTCTTTATTAATTTGCATATCCTGGAAATTTCATATAAATGGAATCGTGTAATATGTAGCCGTTTGTGTGTGTTGCCTTCATTTAGCATGTGTTTAAGATTCATTCATGTTGTAGCATCTATAATACTTCATTCCTTTTTATAGGGAAATAATATTCCATTGTATGGGTATATCACATCTCTTTGTCCATTTAGCAGTTGATGGACATTTGAATTATTTCCATTTCTTAGCTATTATGATAATGCTGCTCTGAACATGTTTGTGTGACTATCTGTTTTCAATTTTCTCGAGTATATGCGTGGGAGTGGAATTGCTATGTGACATAATAATGCTACAGTTAACCTTCTGAGGAATTACCAAACTGTTTTCCAAAGCGGCTGCACCATTTTATTCAAACCAGCAATCTGTAAGTGTTCCAAATTCTCCACAACCTCATCAACAGTTAACGTCCAACTTTTTGAGTATAGTCATCCTGGTGGGTGTGAAGTAGTTCTCACTGTGGTGTTGATTTGCATTTCTCTAATGACTAATGAGTTGAGCATCTTTTCATGTGCTTAATGGTCATTTGTATATCTTCGTTGAAGAAACTTCTAACACAGCCTTTGCTCATTTTTTAATTAGGTTGTCTTTTTATGATTGAGTTTAAGTGTTCTTCAGATATTTTGGTTACCAGATCCTTGTCAGATAATATGATTTGCAAATATTTTCTCCCATTCTGTGGGTTGTCTTTTCATTTCTTGATACATAAAAGTTTTTTATTTTTATTAAGTCCAATTTATTCATGTTTTCTTTGTTGGATTATGCTTTATGTGTCATATTTAAGAAACTGTTGCTTAATCCAAGGTCATGAAGACTTACATCTATGCTTCCTCTAAGAGTTTTATAGATTTAGCTCTTACACTTAGGGCTTTGATCTATTTTGAGTTAATTTTTGTATATGATATGAGGTAGATGACCACATTCATTCTTTTGCTTGTGGATACCAGTAGATCCAGCACCATTTGTTGAACTGGACTATTCTTTCCCCATTGAATTTTCTTGGCACCGTAGAGATTCATTCATTTCATCTAGGTTATCTCTTTTGTTGACAATTGTTCACAGTATTCCCTCAAATCTTTTTTTATTTCTGTAAAGTTGGTTATAACATCACCTCTTTCATTCTTGGTTTTAGTACTCTGAGTCCTGGGGTGCCTGGGTGGCTCAGTCGTTAAGCGTCTGCCTTCGGCTCAGGTCATGATCCCAGGGTCCTGGGATCGAGCCCCGCATCGGGCTCCCTGCTCGGCGGGAAGCCTGCTTCTCCCTCTCCCACTCCCCCTGCCTGTATTCCCTCTCTGGCTGTGTCTCTCTGTCAAATAAATAAATAAAATCTTAGTACTCTGAGTCCTTTCCCTTTTTTCTGTGTTAGCCTAGGTAAATTTTAAAAATTGTGTTGATGTTTTCAATAAACCAAATTTTGGGTTTTTAAAATCTTCTTCATTGTTCTGCTATTCTCTATTTCTTTTATTTCTGCTGTAATCTTTATCATTTTCCTCCTTCTGCTTGCTTTGCGTTTAGACCGTTCTTTTTCTAGTTTCTTAAGGTAGAAGGGTAGGTTATTGATTTAATAGCTTTACTCTTTTTTAATATAAGCATTTAAACCTTTAAGTTTCCCTCTAAGCATACCATAAATCATGGTATGTTGTATTTTTGTTTTCATTCATCTAAAATTATTCCCAATTGCCCATGTGGTTTCTCTTTCTACCCATTATTTATGAGCATATTAATTTCTAACACACTTATTTATAAATGGGAATTTCCAAAATTCCTTCAGTTACTGATTTCTAACTTCATTTCACTGTATTCAGGAAACATACTTTGTATAATTTTTTTTTTTTTTTTTTTTTTTTTTAAGATTTTATTTATTTATTTGAGAGAGAGAGAATGAGGGAGCACATGAGAGGGGGGAGGGTCAGAGGGAGAAGCAGACTCCCTGCTGAGCAGGGAGCCCGATGCGGGACTCGATCCCGGGACTCCAGGATCATGACCTGAGCCGAAGGCAGTCGCTTAACCGACTGAGCCACCCAGGCGCCCCGTTACTTTGTATAATTTTAACCCTTTCAAATGTTTTGAGACTCCTTTTATGACTTAATATATGGAACTATCCTGGAGAATATTCCATGTTCACTTGAGAAGAATGTGTTTTCAGCATTTTTTGGGTGTTCTATAGATGTCTGTTATGTCAAGCTGGTTTACACTATTGTTTAAATCTTCTCTTTCCATGGTGATCTTCTGTCCAGTTGTTCTACCCGTTATTCAAAGTAGGATTTTGATGTCTCCCATTATTACTGTTGAATTTTCTATTTCTCACTTAAATTCTTACTTTTTTGCTTCATGAATTTGGGGACTCTCTTGTTAGGTACATATAAGTTTCTAATTATTATAACTTCTTGATGCACTGACCCTTTTATCATTATAAAATGCCTTTTTTTGTCTCTAGTAACAATTTTATTTTAGAGTCTATTTTGTCTGGTATTAGCATAGCAACTCTAGCTTTCTTTTGGTTACTCTTTGAATGGTATATCTTTATCATTTTACTTTTATCTTATTTGTGTCTTGAATCTGAAATTTGTTGCTTGTAGACAGAAATACTTGGAGCATTTTTAAAAATCCATTCTAGGGCGCCTGGGTGGCTCAGATGGTTAAGCGTCTGTCTTCGGCTCGGGTCATGATCCCAGGGTCCTGGGATCGAGTCCCGCTTGGGGCTCTCTGCTCCTTGGGAGCTTGCTTCTCCCTCTGCCTCTCTCTCTCTCTCTCTGTCTCTCATGAATAAATAAATAAAATCTTAAAAAAAAAAAATCCAGGCAAGATGGCGGAGGAGTAGGAGACCTGGATTTCGTCTCCTCTCAGGAATTCAGCTGGATAGGGATCAAACCATTCTGAACACCTACAAACCCAACAGGAGATCAAAGAAAAGAAGAGCAACAACTTTCTGAACAGAAAAGCGACCATTTTCTGGAAGGTAGGACGTGCGGAGAAGTGAATCCGAGGCGATATTCGGGAGGATAGACGGCGGGGGAGGGGCCTCCGTCGGCCGCTTCTGGCAAGTGATAGAGCCGCGGAGCACAAAATCGGAACTTTTAAAAGTCTGCTCCGCCGAGGGACGTCACTCTGGTGGCTAAGCGGGGGGTGGAACCCTCCGGGACAGTGTGGTCTCAGGACCCTCGGGGTCACAGAGGGACCGGGGGTGCCTGAGGGCGGCAGAGCTCCCAGGTATCGGAGCAGGGAAGCCGGCTGCAGAGGCGGAGCCCAGGCGCAGGCTCTCAGCTCGGGGTGGCCATAAACCGTGATCCGCGGCACAGCCGGGCCACTGCTCCTCCAGCAGGGACCCAACAAGCGGCAGATCCAGGGAGACTCACCTTCCTCCCCCGGGGGGAGCCGCGCGGGAGGGCACCGCAGGGATCTGCTGGGTTTGGAGACTCCAGACCGGGTCGGGTGCCAGAGATAGAAACGCGCGGTCACAGGCCGGTTGAGCATGGAGTGCAGCCGGAGACCGGGG